ATTTGAATTCAGTGAACCATGCTATGGTATGAAATAGTAGAGTTGCTTATAAGTTCAGTGATATATGGGTAGTCACTGGAACTTCTTATTCTCATTTGGAGAATTCATGGAGTGTAATTGCTTATTTTTATTTATAGCTGTGACTGGATTGCTCTACAGAGATAGCAGAGCATTTGCCATGTAAGAAGTTTAGAGCAAGGCATTTTCTTTTCTCTGTGGCTGTGTATTTTCTTTTCATCCAAGCCATCTCTGCTCTCTACGAAGAAAAAATCAGGGTTGGTTTTTTTCCAGGGATTCTGTAGGATTCAGCAGTATAAGCAGTGATTCTTTCCCATCAGTGGCCATGTCTAAATAATGAGAGAAGTGGAGGAAAGTCCAAAGAAGCCCAAAGAAGTAAAAATCCCAGATTAATAGGTCTCTTCAGCACAACACCATCTCAGGAGAAAATCAAGTCATCTTTTTTTGGTTATGAAGCTCCCACAGGGTCCCAACTGGGTGATGAACAGCTCTTGTGTCTCTATCACGGGCCTTTCAGCAGCATCGGGCAGGAGCACTCCAAACCTACTTGCACTTTCTTGTGGAAACATGCTGCAAAACATGCCAGGACAATGTTTTCATTGCAATGGGACATTCTTTAACCAGCTTCAGTGGGCTATTTATAGCCACGTTCTCTCTCTCTCTCCCACATGCTGTCTCCTCTGCTTTTGTCTAGACCATGAGAAATGGCAACAGTTTTGTGCCCACTGATGCAACGATGCTGACGAGTTCGTGTAGGCACCATGTGATAACTGGGCAAATGTTTGCAAACTGGTAGGACATCATAGGTATTTCCTCCATCTGTATGGCTGAAGACTTGAAGTTGTTTGGAGTTTGGGGTTTTTTTTCGTATTTTTTTTACACTATCATCACAGTCATGGCTGAAATCTGATTTCAGGAGATTCATCAGTATCATGGCTTGGGTCTGTGGTTCAGGCTCTTCCATCACAGGAGAGAACAAATTCTGAGCTTGTATTTAAGTCTGCTGCTGATAAAATAAAGGTATTCTTCTGTAAATCAAAAGAACTTTAGATTCATGTAGAAGAACAGGAAAGAACAGGAGCTCTGAATTTTTTAATTTTTTAGTCTCCTGGGCAAAGGGCATAAAGTCAAACTTTGCAAAGAGTATGAGAGGAAGCTTTAAGAAAAACTGACAGACCAGTGATGAGACCTGCATGAGTAGGCATAGGCACCTGAAGGAACAAGAGGCCTTCATGGTCCTTATGCATTTGGCAGAAAGTATTCTGGAATATTTTTTTGTTCACCCAAGGTGGAGAATTTTGAGCCCACAGGAGAAGCACACTGCCCAACACTGGAGGAATTGAAGCATCAATCTGTCTGTAGATAGAGGAAATGAAGAACGCTCTCACAGGGGAAGTGAAGCCTTTTGGACAGTGAATGCACTCAGAAGTCTTCCACCTATTACCCATCTTCACATGCTTTGGACACTAGTAGGAGTACCTGAGGAACGAAATCCCCATCAGAAAGTACACAGAGTTTGATGAGGAAGGAAATGCATGTTTTACGCTAATTTTAGTGATATCCAGGTCATCATCTAGAAAAGCCTCTCTAAGTGGAAATGCAGTACTTAATGCACACAGAGGAGTTAGTGCTTACATCAGCCACTGAGCTTCCACTGTTACCACAATCCCTTCCTACATACCATCTATCTCTGATGATATCTCAAGTCGTCTCACTCGCAGAAGTGCAGTCTTCGCAGTCTGCCTGGCTGATTATCTCATGGTGACTCTGCACAGGATCCCATTCCAAAATCACATCTGACACAAGTGGAGCTGCTGATCTGCAGTATTGTGACATACATAGAGACAAATGTTCTCTCCAGCACTTTATCAAACCACTGAGAACCTACTAGATTACATCTGATATCCTTAAAGTCTGCTCATAAGTCTGTTATGAGCTGTCCTTGGGTGCTGGGAATAGTTTAGCAGTCAGCAATCATGTTCTGAATGGACTCAAGGTGAAACTCCACAAGCATGTATTGTTACAAGTTCAGTGTCACCGTGGCAAAAACAGCAATTACTGTAAACATGTCAGCAACCAAAGGAAAACGGCACAGGAGCAGCTGGAGCAGAACTGGTCCTTAGCTGCCTTTGTCATGTCAGCATCCAGAAGTGCCCCTGGATTGCATTCACTTGGAATGGGCTATATTATATAGCAGAAGTCTATATCTAGTTAGCCATGTAAGCTCCCTTAGTAGTCAATGAAGAGTAGTAAGCATTGGTAAGGCATGATTCAGCTCATCCTGAAGTTGTTAACAAAAATATTACCAGATGAATCCAAAATATCACCAGATTGCTTCTTGAAATTGTTTATTTATGAATGTACAAGCATATGAATGTGATTGCTCAGTTGTACCATAGGCAGCTGGAGCCCAATCTTGCCCCCCAGTTTTGAGTCAGAGGTAAAAAGTAGAGGGTGTGTTTTCCATATCTCCTATAGGTGTTGCCTCAAACTCTGTCTTGCTCACCTGCGATGAAACCCTCTAGTTCACATGCCAGCCCTCGTTGTAAAAAGAGATCACTGTGCTCACCTTGCTGTGGTGCTCCTCACATCAAAAGTGATGAAGTGCAAAGAAGAGTATTCACCAGCTTCCTGGACCCACCCTAGTCTGCCTTTCCCTGGAATCTCTCTCCAATAAAATACCTGCCAAATCAGACATTTGGGTCTGTCACTGAGTGGTTGCTCGGGAACAAGAAAGGAGTGAAGCTCAAAGGGACAAGGTGAAACTGCTTGGAGACCAGTGTACCAAGCTGCATCAGTCACCCAGCATTGTTAGAGGTAGAAAAACCCATCCATATCAGAAGAAACCAGGTGTGACCAGTGTTTTTTCCGCCCGACATCACGAGCTCAGCTGGGGATGGTATGGGAATCTCTCCTGAGAGAGGCAGACCCAGCCCCAAGAAGGCCAAGACACATTCTTGCAAGTCTTTTCCATTGTGTGCCAGTAAACGGCTGCTTAATGAGTCAAACTTGATAATTACCTTTATTATAAACCCTGGGAGGATAAAGTGGAGCAGTGTCATGTTTGTCTTTGACCTGAGAGTTTGCCAAGCAGTGATGAGAGTTTTGGGCTCTGTTAGATGATTATTTTACACCCAGCCTTATGTATACATGGAACTGTGCCAACAGCCAGCACCAAGGAACCTGGAAGAGGTTTTTGGTTCTTTTTTGGGTTTGGAAAAGAAGAAATTTTGGGAGCTTTGTGCTTCATAGCTATCAGTTAGCAGCCTGTCTCTGGGCAGTCTTTGAGTGACAAAATCTTTTAATAGCAAACAGTGCTGCTGCTCCAGTCTGCTTGAGGAATTGGGCTCCTTGGAGTCAGTAAAATCAACTGATTCAAAAATGGGATAACCTAGTTTCAAGATTGCTGCATCTGTAAAAGAAAATAAAAAGCATTAAGGGAAATTAAAAGAAAATAAAATCCAAACAAAAAACAGAGTCCCACAAAACTACTAATCTCAGGCCAGGTTAAATAAATATTTAAAATAGGTTATAATCCCATTTTCATAAAAGCCACTTCTAGACAATGTACAAGTTTTGAATCTGAGGAAGGCAGAAGGTGAATGTAGGGATAAATTCCTGAGCATTTCTAGCAGAAGCAATCTCATGGGGGTTTGTTTGAAGAAATATGAGGCTATCACACATTCCTGTCCAGTGGTCTGAACTGGTGCACTAGGATATGGCTCTGCCCAAATGTGATATACTTCTCCTCTGAGAAGCCTGCCACTGGTACCAATGCTTTTGTGATCTATTGCAGTCTGTCTCTCTCTTATACTCTTTTTTTTCTTGCTTCTGCATCTTAAAAGAATATATTCTACTTATTAGTAGTGGCTTGGTTAACAAAAGCTAAGAAAAATCTGAGAGTTCCTCTTATAAATGTCTGAAATTGGTGGATTTTTCTCCGAATAGCAGCAAAGGAAAAAAAGTACAGTCAAATATGTGGTGCAGCACACTCCTAACACAAAGCTACACACTGTGCCATTACTTCTGTTTGCTGGGTAGGAGATAATGCTGTCTCCTCTGTGCATGATTTTCTTTGAAACCCACTACACAACGTTTAACAGGAGGCGTTAGTATAATCTGTGTTTTGCATAAGGGGTGTCATCACATCCAGCAGCAACCAAGTTCCTTTGATTTAAAATAAATAAATAAATAAAATGGGGGGGAGGATTTTTTGTTTGTTTGTTTGAAGTAGCTTAGTAACTGAACAGGGCAAAAATTATAAAGTGACTGCAGCATCCTCAGAAATGTCCTGAGTGCTATTTGCATTTCTTCTGGAGTGTCTGCAGTGGCATTTACATCTTTGCTGTTCCTTAAAGCACCACTGTGGGCGGTAGGAGTAGCAGCAGGCTCTTGGCTGGGTTCCCATCCCTTGGGAAGCCCCAGATACTACTATGTCAGTAGGTTTCCCCAGTGCCTTGTGAAGACTTGCACAAAAAGCAAACTCAGAAAGCGTGTTGCTCTCCCATCCCCAGGTCAGCTGTTAGACAGACTTTGATTTTTGTATTTTAAGCCCCAATTCTAAAGTAACCCAGGGTGCTGCTTCTAATTAAATCCTTAAAATTAATTAGGGTTGGAGGCTTGTCTGTGACACTTTTTTTTATTATCTCTGTAAAAATGTGAATCTTGCTTTTAATAATTTCTCACTTGCTTTTCTTTTTTCTTTTTTTTCCCCTCCTTTTAGAAAAGCAGCTGACTGCCAGCAACTGCTTAGGAATATTAGCCATGGCTGAAGCCATGCAGTGCACTGAACTATACAACATGGCCAAAGCATATGCCCTGCAGATTTTCCCAGAGGTGGCAAACCAAGAGGAGATCCTTAATATCTCAAAAGATGACTTCATTTCCTATATGTCTAATGACAGCCTGAACACCAAAGCAGAGGAGCTGGTGTATGAAACAGTGATAAAGTGGATTAAGAAGGATGCTGCAATCAGAGCTCAGGTAAAAATAATCTCAGCAGCCTCACTCTGCTCCTTTCCCATGAATGCCTCTATTAAAATAGAAACCATCCCTGTGCAATTTTAAGCACAAGGGTGCATAGGAGATGGGATGGGCAGTTCAGATTAAAAAAAGAGAAAGGGAATGCAGGCTATGCACAAAATTTATGCAATTTGAAAATCTGGTGCCAATAGCTGTGCATTTAGAATCAAAATCTTGTTTGTGACATGCATGGTACAAAGATAGGGCCTCGAGTTGTTGGCTGCAGGTTTGGTGAGAGGTAACTCAGGAGGGATTAGAGTTATGTGAGGTGCTGTTATAAGGCAGTGATGCATTTTAGTAACAGTGGGAAATAAAAATATCTCAGAAGATCTGTATTTCTTTTGATGCCACATGCTCAATGACTGTGACTTCAGTCCATTAAAAAAAGCATTCTGTCTATTGCCTGCTTAGATAACCCCTTGGGTATTATATACTTATTAAAGTTAGCCTTTCCTACACCATCTGAGCTATGCATTCTGCTCTTTACTCAAGAAATTGAGTGCATTACTTTGCCCCCCACTGTCTCCAGATAAATGCTAGAAGCAATGACTGTTTGGATGCTGATGATTGTCTTTGAGACCAGAAGACTTTTCTGATGATATTTAAAAACCTTCCACTTGCCTTTGGTGCAGCTCTTGCAAGTCAGCTTTTGTGGTCTGAACCGCAAACCTTTTGGAGGCCAGTCCTCCCCACAGACCTCAGAAAGGGAAGGTTGTTTTCTTCCTTTCCCTTGCTTTGGACATCAGATTTGCTGGCCTATCTTAGCCAGGCCAACTTCTGTTGATCCCTGGTCAGGATTGGGTGGTTTAAGGAGGACGGTCCAGTTCCTTATGGACCAGACTGGGACTCGGGGAAAGATGCTGTCCCACATCATGAAAGACAGCACCTTCTTGATTGAAATGGGAATTCAAGCATCTAAATGTGCAATGGGATATTAAATATATCATTGGTTGTAATTCAGAGCAGCTGCGTCTCCGTCCCCCACCTGGAAAGTGGGAAAATTAGATTCCTGACCTCATCAGGCTGCTGGGTAAGGACAAGGACATTAAGGATGGTGGGGCACTCCATGCCAGGCCAGGCCTTGCTGCCTGCACTGCTGCCACTGGAAGAAAGGCCTCCAGGCCTTTCTCCAAACTTGTCCCACCCTGTGCCAGTGGGTGATGTAGCTGAGCAGGGCAGTCCTGTGCTGGGGACCACCTCCTCCATGTGCCAGCCGTGCCATTCAGTATTGCCCAAAATTATTGCTTAAAATATTTACACAACACCATTAATTTACTGAAAGGGGCCCCTTTTTGGCTCTCAGTGGCCTTGAAAAACACACTGGGTTATTTCAGTCCTTGCTTTAAGTTTGATGACAGCAGTCAGCTTTGGGCAGCTGCAAGCTCTGATTGTAATGCAACCCCGGGGATTATTCCCAGGGGCCGGAATATGGGAGCCCTGCAGCAGGAGCCTGTTTGCCTGGTGCAAACAGGAGGTGTCACTCACCAGGCAGTCCAGGTTGCATTTTCAAAGTTACTGGTTTAAATACTTCCTTCTGCACCCTGCTGTGGTGATGCTAGGGATTTATTTTTCGAAGTGGTTGTTTTTCTTGCCCCCCTCCTCGCGGCTCCTGCCACAGCCATCTCCTCTTCTCTTCCTTTCCTGTTGCAGTTGGGTTGGTTTTCTGGGGTTTTTAATTTCCAAGTTGCCTTTCCTTCTTCCCTGCTTCTCCAGTGCCTTTGTAGTTTACTACAGCAGTTTTATTTGCTTATCCAAATGCTTTGGTTTCACGCATTACTTTACAAGGGCTTTTAATTTTTAATTTGTATTTATCCAGAAATGAGGGTCTTGAATAAATTAATATTAAAGATACCAAGCAGATAACTATTTTCGTTCTAAATTCTACCACTAAACTAGTTTCTTTGAATTGTAGCTCTCACTTTGTTTTTTTTGTACTCCATGCACTGCTTGATCTATTATAAAGCTCTTAGTTAAATAGGTACTTATTTTCTAATAGTAGGAAACTGTACTTACCAGGAAAAGTACCATCTTTACAATAATGACTTCTGCATTTTCAGAGCCCAGGAACAAATAGCTCTGACGGTTGATAGGAAGGAAGATAGACCTAAATAATATTATTTCTGATAAAGATGCTGCACTCCTCGGGTGACCAGTCTCATTTTATGTCTCTCTCCCAAAGGGAGTCCTGGCAGTAAAATTTTCAGGGCCTGAATTTCTAGGGCCTTCACTTTCTTCCTATCTCCTCTCTCCCCATCTCCCTTTGCCTGACAGGCCACGCTCTATCATCATGTTTTTATTTTCAATAGCTCCAATGGCAGGTAATTAAAATGCCTCTTTGGCAGCTTATTCCAAGCACTGAATTGGTCATTCTCCCAGAGGTGGATGTATGACACAAATGGGGAAAGGTCTGTGCTCTTCATCTCACTTGCATGTCCATCTTCCCAGGTAAAGCCTGGCAGGGGCTTGCTCAGCAGAGACATCCCTGCAGAGGAGCTTGGAGAAGGAGCTTTCTCTCTAAATCAGTCCCCAGGGCAGCTGCAGCCCTCCAAAACTCTGTGCTTTAATGGCTTTGTATCCCTCTGGAATGCTAGTTTATGTCTGGTGACAGTAAATCTCACCTCTTGTGTTCCCCACACCACAGCTCTTTATGCCATGCTCTTATGACAACTTATCCATCACTGCCTCCCTTCCTGTCTGGATCCCTTTCTGAGAGCCTGTGGGAAGGAGATTTTCAATGGAGCTCCCCATTCTTCTGAAAGGATGTTGAGTTTACCACTTTCCCACTTTTCACAGAATCACAGAATCTTAGAGGTCGGAAGGGACTTTCTCTGCTTTTCTAAAAGCTCTTCTTCAGGTATCTAATTATTTCTGCTTTTGTTAGTTCTTTCCCCACCAGACTGGAGGGCAGTGGCAGGGAAGGACCCAGGATTTGCTGTGCACTGGCTGACTTGTAATTTTGCAAATTGTGCTCATACAAAGTGTAAAGATGCTTATAAAAGTGCTCTGTATCATTACAAAAAACAGCATCCAAGCCTTGTCACAAAGAAGGAATAACAGTGCTTTAAGAGTTACTGGTCCATCTACATAAGGCAGAAGGGCAGTCCAGATAATGACATATGTCTTAAGCTACGATTTGGTAAATAACTGTATCCACTGCATTGGAGCAGTTCTCCAGCTCATGTGGTAAGGTTTATGGAGATATTTTAGTGCTGCTTGTAGTGCAGTCACGTAAAATTGGTCTAACCAAAGGCAGCAGCCTGTGATGTGAGGTCTGGGCTAGGAAGGTAATTTCCTGTCCCAGCAGAGGCAGAGCTCTGGTTGTAGGAGCGCTCTTGATTACTTGTCACCGAGTGAAAAGCCTGCAGCTGACTGACACATCTGGAAAAGCTGCATTTACTGGGTTTTCTATTTATTTCTCTTCCTGACTGATGGACAAGATTCTAGGGTTTATCCTAACAGTTATCCCCTTGATAAGCTTATTACAACTCTGGCGAACTCATGCAAAAACTGTGTCGTATAATGGAGGCTTTACTGTCTGGAAACCAGGATGGTCTGAGGCATCCAAACAAGCAAAGATCTCTGCCAGGCCTGAGGCAGTCTTCACCTGAGCTCATCCCCCCAGGTCCCTGCATGGCCTTGGGCAGGTTATTTCACTTTTTTGCCCCCATTTCTTACACTCTAAGCTGGAGGAAAGTGATACCTCCCATGTGGGCTGTTGGGAGGATCCAGTGGATCATGTGGATCCAGTGGATCATGTTTTCTGCTGGTGCTAAGGACTGCTGGAGCTGCACAGAGCTGCAGTCATGCCCAGTGTCAGCACAAGATGGAGAAGATGTGAATATGCAGGATGTGCAGCAATTTCCTGCCTGCTCATAAGTACTGACACACCAAAGCTCATGCGAAACTTTCCCACTTTCTGCTCCAAATCCAAAGTCGTATCTCTTTCCTCTGACATAAACAATAGGGACATGTTTATTAATAACAGAAAGCCTGGGAAAACAAGATGTCCAGTTGCATGAAGCTTCCCTCTCGCCCTGAGGAGAAACAAGAAGTGACGAGAGGACAAACATTTCAATAAGTTGCCTGGAGTAGTGCTGGAAGAGAGGCAGGTACTGCAGCAATGAGAGACAGATGGGAGGCTCAGCTGAATGGCAGTCACCTTTTGTTGCACTCTGCAAGGATATAATCATGTGCCCTTTTTAAAACCCTGTTTAAAATCACATTGTCCAGTAGCAAAATTAAATATCTCTACCATAAAGGCATTAACAAGCCTTCTATGAACTTGTGTCCTGAGAGACAGATTTGTCTAAACAGAATCTTCATGGTGCCTGAGAACCAGAGATGCATAGACAATTTAGAGGTAATTTGGAGAAGAGCAACACAAATTATTAAAACACTGAAGGAACTGATGTGAGAAAAAAAAGATGAGAAGATATGAATATGCATGACTTGGCCTAGTGACAGCTAAAGAGGGATAGTTGTCTACAAGTGTTTGAAGCCCCAAGGAGAGAGATTGCCTGGAAGGATGCAAGGACTGTAACAACAGTAAGGACCACTGGGATGAATTTGAGACTTGGCAAATTAGTCAAAGCAAACACAAAGCCCACCTGAAACCCTGCATCTGTCAGTGAAGGTGAAGAAAGGTAATGGATAGAAGTAGAAAAGGATTCATGTAAAGAATGCTACAAATGCCCATGTATATATGAGCTATTTTGACAGTGACAGCAAATGGCAGACCGGAGGCAAGATTCTACACAGGAGAAGGGGTTGGTAACCATGAGACAGAAGGTGAAAGACCCTTGGTCTGTGGCTAGGCTGTTGAGATTTCTAGGCACATTTTAAAGAGTCTCCAAAGTTATGCAGAAGAGCAGCTTGCTCCAAGAAAATAAAGAATGTGACAGGGGAACAAGCACAATCCTAACTCTGTTCTGTGGCAACAGGAAGGCAATGGTATCTTCAGA